TCGCGAGGCGAGAGGAACTGCAACGGCATAATGCGCGCGGCGGCGGCGGCGGCGGCGGCGGCGGCGGCAGAGCTTACACTTTTCTCTTACGTAACGTTGATCGGAGTTTCTGCTCGGTGTAGCGTGCACACACAGTAGGCCGCCTCCGGAGAGCAAAATCGACGGACGAGGGGAGGCTCATTGTCTCTCAGGCGCATTCGGTAAACTTATTCTCTTTGTTCGTCGGACAGCTAGAAGACCGGAATTCGGGACAATCTCCAAATTTCCTTGTTTAATTTTCGCGATACTCTACTAACTTCGATAATGATCGTTAACCTTTCGCTGGCGATTGTTGCACGTGATATTCTCGGCATTTACGGAGGATAACTGTGCGCAACGAAACGTAAATTATACTATCGACTTTATCGAACAGATTCTTTTTTTTTCTTATTATTATGCTCTGTATTATAATAAACGCTATCGTAAGATTACATAAGATTTATATGTTATATAATTATGATATATATATATATATATATATATATATATATATATATATATATATATATATATATAAAAGAGACATTTTTGATCACGGCTGGATCTTAATACCTAATAATTTTGAATTTATATATATAGAATATTCCGCGAATTCTATTTAAACTATTTCCACTTTTCAAATAAAAGAAAATATTTATATAAATTGCATGGTTTCGAGAGAGGAGTAATAAAATTAGTTACAAGTGAAAACATAGAAGAGATTTGAAAGTCTATTATTTTATAGGAAAATTACTTTTTTACTCAGCATATATTTTATAAACCGTACATAATAGCGAAATATTTCTGTAATTTCCTATCTATTCTTGATGTTTTTTTGTATAATGTATGTACTATTATGTTTTTTCTTGAATCTATTGGTATCGTATTCTCTCTCTATCGATCTCATCATTTCTTAGTATCTCTTTTCTGTAAAGCTTTCCAAGCATATTTTTAAGATACCATTGGAATCCTATCTATTTCTACTGTCTATTTTCTTCATTACTCCTGATTTCCGTTTTTTTTTCTATTTCATTATCTTTTTGATCCTCCAATTTCTCTATTTTTGTCGCCTTGTTCGTTTCCATTCCTCCATTCCTAATAGTTACATGAAATGTTTCATTTGTTTTTCCCGATGTTATTTTCTTTCTCGATTTTTCTATTCTTTTTTATAATTTCTAAACTTCTACTTTTCTTGCATTTCTTTTATCTTTTCCTTTTTCTTTATAAACCTTTCCCTATTTATTTTGTCTTTCCTCTATTTCCTATAAATTTTTTGCATTTTTTTAGTACGATTTCTGCATTAGTGCAGTTTTCCAATTTTTGTTCTCCAATTTCTTTCTGTTTATTTTTATCTTCTTTTTAACCATTGTTCCCTAATTTAATCCTTTGCCATTTCTTCTCTATTTCTTCTTTTGATCTTCTTGTCCTTCCTTTTAGCTTAAATCCTTCGTTATTTTCTTATACTTTTGTATTATATTTTTATCTTTGTATTATATTTTTGATAACCAATTCTTCTCCACGTTTTTATCTGTTACTTATCCTCTTTCAAGTATCAAAAAATGAGTTACGAAATAATTTACATTTTATATTTAGAATATACCAGAATAAAGTAAGAAATATCTCGATTATTATCGTAAACTATCGAGTTTTCGATAAATATATTTCAACACTTATATTCTAATTAAAGACTAATTAAAGAGAAATCATTGCATAATAAAAAAATATTAATTTAAAAAATGGCGATCATAAAAAAAAATTTGACAATATCCTTCTGCAAATCAATATTGTAATCATATGGCTTCCTTGAACCATACAACTTTAAAACTAGATTTTGTTATCTTATTTGAGATATTCATTGCATTTGATCAAAATGAGACATCTTGTATGAATTTTATATCCTTTGTTTTTATCACCAATTTATTCCGTATTTTTTAATGGAACGTTAGTTAAACTCTCTCAGAATCGTGAGAACTGGCTTTATCTGTACAAATTGTATTAAAGATAATTTCTAATTTTTCTAGGGCATTCGTAAAGCATTTCGCAACATCCCTGGCGTCTCTCTGATGAATATCAATAAAATGAATTTACTGAAATTGGCACCCGGCGGTCATGTCGGACGTTTCGTAATATGGACAAAGTCTGCTTTTGAACAATTGGACGCTCTTTATGGAACCTGGCGTAAAGAGTCTCAACTAAAAAAGGGGTATAATTTGCCATTCCCTAAAATGGCTAATACGGATCTGTCCAGACTCTTAAAGTCTGAGGAAATCCGTAAGGTCTTGAGAGCTCCAAGGTAATTAGGAAGAAATAATTTTGTGTCCTAACAATGAAATTTGTAGACATACTTTTTTAAATTTAACAGTACTGTAAAAAGAAAGAGTAACACTTTAATATGCACAAGTTAAATTCAAATAAGTTATGAATTAACTTAGTTAAACTACATAAAATAATATGTAGTTTTTATTTTTTCTCTCTTTTCATCTGTATGATTGTGATAATGTTTATATTCATGTTACTAAAAATGATTAATAATTTTAAACACGCACGCGCGCGCGCGCATATGTGATCCGCGATTTATGTTATAAAATTTATTATTTATAATAAATATTACAGGAAGAAAGTGGTACGTAGAGTGAAAAAATTGAACCCCTTGACCAATACGCGGGCTATGTTGCGTCTCAATCCCTATGCTGCGGTCTTGAAACGTGCTGCTGTTCTCACTGCACAGAAGCGCCAACGCGAGAAAGATGTTCTTCTTGCTGAAAAACGAGGTGTAAGTTCAATATATTTTACATTTTTTTTTTATTCACGTTTTGAGATTACGCATTTTGTAAGTATAAACTATAGGATTTTTAAAAACAAAAACGTGGTAAATAGGCCTCAGTGTTAAAAAAAAAAAAATATCAATAATAGAGCATAAAGATCAAAAAGCAAATATTACTGTTAAAATAGCTATATTAAATAAAATCATGAACATTAAATAATATGAAACAAACATTTCGACCATACGACTTGGTCATCTTCAGTGTTAAAATTAAAAATTTTAAATTATAGGAACAATAATTACGTGAAAAATCTATTGAATCATTGCAAAAACTCTGAGATAGTCCACCAATTAAGTAGCCACATCTCGTAGGGAAAGTCGTGATATTTGTATCTATTATGAAAAAATTGGGATAACATTATGTCGCTTGTTTACTGATATCTGACTTCATATTTCCCGTCACTCCATTAAGCTTTTCTCATCTCGCAGGTATTTTTATTTTTATTATTTTATTTATTTTTATAAAATAAATTTTATTTATTTTATAAAAATAAATAAAATTATTTTATTTTTATTTTTACTTTTATTTTATTTTATTGTTACTTTATTGTTATTTTATTTTTATTTTATTCTTGTTGTTATCGTTATCTTCATTTTTATTTCAATTTTATCGTTAACGACTACTTGAAAGAAATTTTTATAATTACTGTTTTTTAAAAAAAGAACATTTAATATGGTTTATTTTATTAGTATTGTAAATCGGAGATTTATTCTTTTGTAATTTAATGGAAATTCCTTCATGCTACATGCAAATATTACAGCTTTCCTTGCGAAATGTGGCTACTAATTGATGAATTATTTTTTCTGCTGACTGAGATTCCTTTTATACTTAACTACATTTAAAATCTATGGAACGAGATCACAATCGACAAGAATTTGAACATGCATTAGGTCGTTCAAACTTTTGTTATCTGCAAATTTCATGTACTTCTATGTGTTATGTTGCTTTAAAGTTTTGCGATGAATCAATAGATTTTTCATATAATTTAAGATTTTATTTTATTTTTAATTTTAACACTGAAGATGACCGAATTGTATGGTTAAAACGTTTGTTTTATATTATTTAATGTTCATGATTTGATTTAATATAGTTATTTTAACAGCAACAATGTTTGTTTTCTAGCCTTTATGCTCTTGTTTTAGATATTTGTTTTTTATAGGATTTTTTTAATATAAAACCAAATTTTATATTATAAGGTGAACTCTAAATTATTATATAAAATTATCTAAAATTATCTAAAATTAAATAAAAAATTGATCTGAAATTTGAACTTTTTGATGTAAAATTAACTGCTATACATTTAGTACATATAAATTATAAAAATACTTTATAAAGAGTAACCGTAAAAACCGGCCAAAAATCCCATTTTGCATCCCTCGAATTTGGAATTGAAATCGATGCTAAATGATTATCATAACACATTAATCCTCTAAAAGTTTCAAATTGAGCAAACCTTTCATTGCCGAGATATAAGCTGTTGAAGTCGGCATTAAGTTTCAACTCAAAGTAGGTCATTGCATATTTTTCACACGAATCATTCCGAGGTTATGACTGATAGGGAAAAATGTTACAAACAATAGTTGTATACGAAATTTTGATTTATTGATTGTTTTCATATATTTTGCAGGTAAAATTGCCGAAGAAAACATCAAAAGCCATCGGTCTTCTGGCAAGGAGGAAAGAGCAATTGACTAAATATAAGAAGACTACAAAGAAAACTATGGTGCAAACTAAAGCTGAAAAGGATACTGGAAAAACTGCTTCCAAGCAGCAAGCTAAAAAGTAAACAAGCATTAATATCATCAACATTATTGTTTACTCATAATTTTTATCTCTGTCTTTAAATAAAAGATGGAAATAATTTTCAAGTATTTTCTTAATTTTTTTTTATATTTAATCCTATGATAAACCATCCTTATTTTCAGTCTTATGCCTAATTCCTTCAATTCTTTTCATGTTTAGAAACGTTTAACAGAAAATATATATAAAAAGAAACAAATATGAATTTATTTATTTACAATGTTATACAATAATCCGCAAATTCAGATTTAAACAGAATTTGCAAAAAGCAACATTTAAGCCGCGCATAGTATATAATTATATAAAGCTTTATATAATTACATTGGAGCTTTATATAATTATATTAGAAAACATTAAAAAATCGATATATAAATGTAACAAGAAACTTTCTTATTATAGTTAAGTCTATATGACTTATTGCTAAAAATAACTGATGAACAATGCATAAAAAGATAAGTTCGGATGATATTCATAATCGATTCTTATATTTATAATCGTTTTAGGGATAAATTTCACTTAACGGATAAAAATGTATCTTTTGCATATTGCAATTTAATAATTTAATATGTCGAAAATATATCCCTGAAGTTTTATAATAAAATGCGAAAAATCAACAAAAATACAACAGCTATAGACGGTTTTCTTATCGAGTGTCGAGTGATGCGCGGCGTATCTCTTTTTTTGAATATAATAGTCTTGAATAACTGGATTAAAAAAAAGGTCAGTATATACTGACCTTCTTATACCTGTATATAATAATCGTATGTTATGTCTTTGTTATGTCTATTTTACAAAGCATAGTTCGTGTGATTTTGTGTAAATATAATCAGAAAAAACTTGTAAAGCAACATCCTGAAATACTTCAATAAATTTTAAGTAAATTAAGGAAAAATAGTAAAAATTAAAAAGTACAAACATATACATACGTAAAAATACAATACAAGTACAATACAAGTACAATAAAATGAAAAATACATGCATTCAAAATGATAGTATTCATATTGCTTCTTAGAACTTACCTAGAAGATAATAGATTATGATGGCACATAAATGCCACCTATACTCCAAAACGAACTATCAACAATTGTCAAACTCGCGAAACACGACATCATCGACCGCCAATCAGACGCGTGGAAGAGGGAAAATATGCTATTTCACTTATTTTACACTTGTTCTTTCGTTCTCTATCTTATTTACTCTCGTGCGTATTATAGAAAAAAATGTCAAGTGTAAAAGTTGTCAATTATACGCGTTTTTCGAACATAGAAAGATGGTTAATATTTTTAAAATGTCTGATATCACTATAAAATTATCTTTTTAAACTACTATCACATGCAATTTCATAACATAATTTTTTTAAAGAATTAAAACTACTACACATGGTTAGAGTAAAAAGAATTCTTCAATGAAGATAACAAAGATACATACCACTTAGATTCTATTCTTTAAAATAAAAGATATTGTCAATTAGATTCTTATTTTTTAACTGAATATAACAATTTCTGGTAAATATGCAGTATAACGCCCTCTCATCTGATTTTTTGTAATTTTGTAAATTTGTATATTTTCCCAGTGAAAACAACTTAGTCAAAGTGATGTTAATGTGTCATCAAATTGAAATTGAGAAATATATCAAAAAGAGTGATTAAAATGATGGCAAAATGATAGCTACATGATTGCAAAACGTCCCTTGATAGTGATTCTGACTGTCATTATGATGTCTGTTTGATATCTATTTGACTAAACAATTATTCTGTACAAGAATAAAGCTATTCATTTCTACTCATGTAGATTAACTTTAATCTCAATTTAATTTATTTATTTTTTATCTTTTTTTTAATTCTTAGAACTAAAAAAAAAGAAAGTTAAACTAATATTAAAATTAATCTACATTAATGGAAATGTACATTAGTCTTAAATTTATTCCTGTAGAAGATGAATTTACTTTTTAGATATAAATGGATATAAATCAAGAAGGAATACACGCACGCACGCACACAATCAGTGATTTTATCGCTTATATAAGACGCGAATTAGTAAATTATTAGAAAAATCTTAATGAACCTTTTATATGAAAGCAATTTAAATTTTTTATGTGAGAATACTATAATTGCATTCTGTTAGTCTATATAAATTTTCAGTACTAGCAATTACTAACAGAATACAGTTATGATATTCTCACAAGAAGCTGTTTTGTGCCATTAAATGTAATCTGTGTAGATTTTTTTATATTTCTCTCTTTTAAAGTTCTCTCATTTTTATTTTTAACAATCCTTTGAGATTAGATATAGATCATATTTTACGTACGCTATATATATTTACTGCACATATTAGCTACACATATTTATCTGACATTGAGTTCACTATTGTAAGTGATTGAAGTTAAATTATGTTAAGTATTTATAGTGAAATTGTTGCTCAATTTATTATTAATTATTATAGGCTGTGTTTCCAATATTCAATGCAAATACTAAAAATCTATATATATATATATATATATATATATATGTATATATACTAATAAACTACTTTATATTATATATACTATAGATTTTTAGTATTCGCATTGAATATTGAAACACAACCTGTAATAATCTAGTTTATAATAAATTAAATGACAATGTCGTATTTATTGAAAAACACCGGTTAACTAATTTAACTTTAATTACTTACAATAGATTGCGGGCCTATGGAGTCAAATAAATATGCGATAAGCAAATACGAATAAATACTACAATACTTACTTTTGTCGCGAGCGTCAAATAGGAACACACGGAGTGTTCAAAACTCTTCTTAGTTCCCTTCCATTAAAGGGGGAGGGATGTCGCGAGCGCCAAGAATGTAATCGCACCTACCGCTGATGAAGCGGATTGCGGCAAGCGGATAATACACTATCTGACTATTACTCTTGTTAATTGATAGCGATTGCTAAACTACAATCGTGCATTTATTTTGCAACTACTCTACGTAAAATAATTGCTAATCGGGTTGCGCGGCTCTTACGCAGAAAGCCGCCACGCGATCCAGAAATATACCGCGAACGCTGACGAGTATTTCGATTACGCTGCAAGGATCGACCGCCTGGAACAGGATAAAAATGGAAGACCGGTGCTAGGAGCGGGACTCGCCAATATTTTGTCTGACCGTCACGTCCCAATTAAAGACAAACTGTATCATTTAATAAATTTTATTGTAAAAGCAAATAAAGTATCAGTGCTTCTGAACTCCCTGGTCGATCCTCCGAAATGACCCGCACAACAAAACTGGTGGCAGCGGTGGGATCATTTCGCAGCAGCAGCACCCAGTCATCTGGAAAAGGCAAACGACTAAAATTCAAAGAGAAGGCCGAAAAGACAGCTCACATTCCTGCGATGAGAGAGAGAGAGAGAGAGAGCCAGTAGAGCGACAACGCCAAGTATATCAGTGACACCGGAGAAGCCGCGACCTACCATAACAGCCAGCGCTACGTCACCAACATGCGAATTGCGATCGTAACGTAAATTATAGAAAATTAAGGCGAGTGAAATAGATATTAAGAGAAGCGATTTGATCGATGTCGGATGAGAAAGTTAATCAAACTCCCTTCGAAAGAAACACGTCGTGACTACACAGCGAATCAGCCAGCCGAGTACTCAATCCGAGCCCCCCGAGCCTCGAGCAAACGGAAAATTCATGCGATCCGCGCGATAACGTGCGCCATGATTTAAATAATTATTATCCCGACGATAGTCTAGCGAGTCAACCAGAATTACATCCGAATATTGTAATTGAACGCGTGTTTTCGCTCAGCGTCATAGACAATACCTACTACCGAATAGTGAGAGACGCGACGACGCTCTACTACGACCAACAGACGCGAGATCTGACAATAGTGACGGCACGAACATAAGTAACCCTAATCGCGGAGAATTTTCGCTGAGAATTTTCGTCCTATGATAGTAGTGTGTTCGATCTAACCGAACATCGCCTCACGAAACACAAATCCAGCGGAAATAGCAAATCAGCCCTCGGTCACATCGTTAAAACCGATCGCGGAAGAGCAACAAATCATAAGCAGAGAATTGGAAAACGAAGTAAAAAAAATGAGAACCACTTTAAGTCAGGCACATTGGAAATCCGATCCAACAGAAGCTTCGCACAACATGCAAGATGTAATGTTGGCCGAAACTTACTTACTAGAAGGCATGCGAGCACTACAAGGCCGCATAAGCCAACTAGAAGTTGCCAATTACGATCGGAGTGCAGAAAATGACGAACCAGTAGAAATGACATACGGGCAACAAACAATGGACGACATCCGAAATTCGCGAGACCCCGAATACGTTTATGAAGCTAAAAGAAGCGCGCGATATGATCTTGGAGATGGATGGATCGTCACGGAATCAAGTCCAAAAATTTTTAAACTTGAGCACTTACGCGATGAGCGAAATAAATTCGGCCGACGAAAAATCATTATTAAAAGCGATTCTGTACACGAAGCTAACGGGGAAAGCCATGCACGATTTCCAAACGAGGGACGCACGTTCGCGCAATTGAAGCGAGAAATCGAGATGTGTTATTTGGCAAAGGGTAGTATCACGCACATTCAGCGAGAGTTTAATATGATTCACCTAAAACCCGGAGAAAGCGCGCAAGAATACGAACTCCGCATTGACAAACTAGCGATGGAACTTTATCAATCTATGGTAGAAAGGCGCGAGCACATCGCTGAGCAACGAAAGGAAATCCTAGATACGACTCAGGAATTAGCACTAGAAAATTTCCAACTAGGATTACGTGACGAAATACAAACAATAGTACGTTCCAGGAACTATACGAATTTAATAGTGATTCTAGGCGCGACAGCTGAAGAAAAATTAAAAGGTAGCCAACCTACCAAAGTTTACAATAACGAGAAAGCAAGAGGCAAGAACAGAATAGAAACCGCAACCAAAAATTGGAGTGCCACATAGATGCAGTAGATTAGGCCGACGCGTGATTGCTGTTCAAGTCGATACACAAACAGATATCCGCTACCTCGAGCCAAAAGATCAGCGAACGTAAACAACATCGAGAAATACTGCTCGTATTG